TGGTGTGGATGAATCCCGAAAACACATGCTAAGAAGCCAGATACATATTGACTTAATTTGTATGAAGCATCCAGAATGGGCAAATCCATACAGACAGAAAGTAGACTGGTGATTGTCTAGGGCTGGAGGGAACTGGATGGGAGAGGGGTAGACTGTTAATGGGTCCAGTGTTCCTTTGTAGGGTGATGGAATGTTCTAGAACTAGATACTGGCGTTGGTTGCACAACATTGCAAATATGTACAACATCATTAATGACAAATTTCACATTATCTTACCATAATAAGAGGAGAAACACTGGTCGTGACCGTTTAGAGATGTATAAAGCAAGCGTGCTGACCTCAAGCAGGCAACGCTAAGAGTCTGAAGATCTTTGACATCATTATTTTTGCTCAAATAAACTTATATGCACATTTATTGGATTTGCCTCTTTTTCAAAATTGTATCTCAATGATCTCATACACATCTCCTGGGCCACTTGCTGTTTCTCACTTCAGGACACATCACACCCCTTAATGTCTTAAGAAATTAAGTCATTTCTTAATTGCTGCAAAAGGTGCCACCGTCAGCCTCACTGGTGGGCATTTGGAGCGTCTCCAGGCACTTGCCACCGTAAAGAGCTGTCATGAACATTCACACACATGGCTCATTATGTTCTGGGGGGTTTCGTCTCTGCGGGATGGAGGCACAAAAGTGGGGTCGCTGGACAGAGTCATGGGCGCACCCACTGTGGATCAGAATCCTCCGAGCTCCCCTGCGCCGGCTCGCGCACACGCGCACATCGCAGGGCCAGATGTGACCAGTGTCTATCATTCTTCCCGTGGCAAACTGACCCTGCACACCAACCGAAGGGTGGCTCAGTAGGACACTGTATGGGCACAATGGTGGGATTTGACCATGGGTGGGGTTGGCCCCGTTACATAGCCCAGGTTTGGGGACCCCCGGGCAGGGGGTCCGCAGATCCTTTCTGGAATGTGATGAGAGCTCTGAAGTTCCCCCCAGAGCACACGTGTGCGCTCACATGCACATTTTGCAGACAATTTCGGGGGCTCAGGCAGAGAAGCCCGCCTGCGAGCCCCCACCACTGAGCCCTGCTCTTGAGTTTCCAACATGGCGCAGACTGCAGCATCTCTGACATTTCCAGTGAACACAAACACCAGCGTTTTTCTAAATGCTAATGGGTTTCTGTGCCCTCTGCTGGATGCTCACATCGTCAGGCCGGCCCTGCGGAGGCAGAGCAGAGCGCCTGGAATTTTCCTCTCATCTTAGAGCTTTTTTTTTTTCCCCTCCTGCGCAACTGGCCCTGTTGTTTTCAATTCGGAACGACTTTCTGGAAGTTGCTGAAGAAGCCCTGTACTTAATACCAAAATCAGCAAGTTTCAGGGAAATTATTTATCTCTCACTTTGGGAATTATTAGTTCTGGATGGAGACTCTTATTGTATAAGGTTTGCTGAAAATTTATGAGTCTATCTGGAAACCGGGAGCGTATTGATTCCCAGTGAGTAAACATTTTAAGCAAATTAAGTGGTGCTAGTAATAATAATAATAATGGGCACTATTTTTCAAGTGTCTGCTCTGTGCCAGGCATTTAATCCCTCCAGTGATGACAGGGGCAGGTTTTATTACCCGAATGTTACAGACGAAGACACTGAGAGATGCAATTGCTTGGCCCCACGCCACACAGCCGATGGAGAAGGAAAGTTCTCAACCCCACCTGCCGGATGGCCAGCCCAGTAGGGCCACAGTGGCGAGGCTTCGGGCCCCAAGCGCTCTGCCTCATCTGTCCTCTCGTCTCCAAAACATGAGCAGGTTAGAATGGAGAAGACAAAGACTCTGACAGACGGAGAAGCTGAGGCCCTTGGCCCTTGACACTTTGCCCCCAAGGTCACACACGCACTAGGAGTGGAGAAAGGGATAGAATCCAGGCCCACAAATACCCTGGGAACAAGACCCTGCTTTTCAATCCCAGCACAATCCTCTTGCCTGCAGGAGCCTGCTCTACGTTAAAGGGGAGATTGGTGAGGGTGGGGAAGGGGTCAAAGGCATACTAGCACCAAACAGACTTTCTCCTTATTGCAATCAGGACTCAGAGCAATCTGCACAGAGACTAATGCCCCCAGCCTGTGTCTCAGTGTCATTTGAAGCAGTCTCAGGGCCACAGAGAAAGTCCCCCAAGTTGCCACCAGGGGGAATGCCCTTCCTTCCAGCTCTCTGGGAAGCTCTGGTTGGTGAATTGTCCTCGGGTGAGGAAAGCAACAGGGTCCAAGATGCAGGGAGATTCAGTGGCAAGAGAGAGACCCAGGGGGTAGCCTGGGGTCCAGAGGGGCAGCCAAGGTGCCCACATCCAGGTTCCGGAGGATGCTGGAGACCAGGCAGATAGACTGGCTGCAGAGGAAAATTCTGCATCTCTGTCCAGCTGCCTCTGAGGCCATGGCTGCGGCAGGGGGACCCAGGGGCTGGATGGCTAGGAGGCTGGGTCAGCCGAACCAGGCCTGACCAAGATGTTCACATTGCCCTCTGGACCCCACAGTGTGTATGACCTCTTTCTGATTTGTACTGCATTGCCTTCTAGAAAAGATTTGAGGCAACTTCCAATTAAACATGTGTACAAGAAAGAACAACTTGTTATAACTCATTCAGGGCAAGCGCAAGGGGAGGGTATTTGCCCCAGCTGAGCATCCTGGCAGGCAAGGTGAGTGGGAACATGTGGGGGGCACAGGTCTCATTATCTGCCTGTAATGAGCAGTCCCCCACCCCCCAAGGGCTGTTTTCCAGGCTGACCCAGGGAGAACAGAGCTGGGTATTGTACCCAGAAGACTAACCAGAGCCCCCTTCCAAGGGGCAGCCCACCCCATCCTGCACTCGCAGTGAGACCCACCTGGGCGATCACGGACCACAGTGATTCACACTGAAGACCATCCCCAGGGTCTTGGGTCTAGAAGGATTTCAGGGTCCCACAAAAATGCTTGAATTGACCCCACAAAAAATTTTTCTGTTGGCTCCACCAAAAAAAAAAAAAAAAAAAGCTTAATGAAATATCTATGACACGTAACGTGATTGCGACTGATTGCAAATCAACTCTTCTTTGGCTATGGACATATTTTATTCAGTACGTGATGCCAGTTTGTTTGAATATAATAGATAGTACGGTAAGATTTGTCTCTAATGAAGAGCCCCCAGGACCTGTAGGAGCGTGCGCATGACCCTGTCACAGACTGAGCCAAATGTCAGCCACGGAGTTTAGAACCTGCCCCTTTTCTGGCCGAGTGTTTAATTGAATTAGGGGCATATGAAGATACAGTGTTTGCTTCCAAAGTTTTGGGGACAAGTGTCAGGCAGTTGGCTCTGGTAACAACAGAGACAACAGAGCAAAGCTTCTGGCAAACACATGACTTTGAGTAATGCCACTTGTTAAGTTAAAAGGGTGCCCGAGTCGCCCCGCCAGCACACCTCATTAGCTAAATGAATTGACCCAACGGATGGGGTTATTTAATATCTGTCTACTGACTTTGGAGAATGTCTGCCAAAAACAAGATCTCAGTTTTGACACAGTTGATGCTGAGCTCTATTTTTTTTTTTCTGACTATTATTTGTCAAACAGATTGCTGCGCTGGGTACAGCCACGTCTACCGAGTGTAAAGCCACATCATCAACACGGATCTTCCTTGTTATGACAGCAGGAAATGCAGCCAATTAATTTAAAAGCCGAATCCAGTTATCGGGATGTGTGTCAGAAAGAAGTGTAGCCGGGATACAGGGCTGTTTTCCATCACTTTGAAAACAGAACTTCCATGGTCGAGAGGCCATTGTCACAGACACACGTCCCAGAAGTCATGCCAGAATATAGGGCTTTAGAGAAATATACATAACTGTGGGGTGGGAGTGTGCACCATACCTATCACCCAGCAAGACCCACGGCCGCTCGAGCCTGTGGCTTCCGAGCCGCAAATGTTCCAGGTGCCTTGAGTTGCTTCTGCCACTTTCCTCACTGAACTGGGGTAGAGTTTGGCAATAGGAGGCCATCGCATAGATGTGCCTCAGATCTGCTACTCCTTCTGTACCACGCCACCATGTTTTTAAAAAAAATTCAAGTCAACACTTAAAAGGCAGAATGTATCCTATCAAAAGGCTCTGGAAAAATCTAGCCGCCCTTGGCTCGCATTTCTGCTGGAGCTGATTCATGGCGCGCTCTCCAGACAGGGCTGTGCACGTCAGCTTCCCCTCTGGCTCCCATTCCCAGCTCAGGCACACGGCAGGCTGGGCCCCTTGTGAGGTACAGAGCCTGGAACTAAACACAGGAAGGATGATGGCATTGCCACGTGGGGACCTAGCAGGGAAGGAGAACGCTGGAGGGCGGAGGGGTGCTGGGGAGAGATGTGCTTGCACCACTGCAGGTAGGGAGGACCAGAACACAGAAGGTTCCAGTTCTGATTCTCTCCTCTACAAGCCCGTTGTCATCCCCAGATCCATGGCAACTTATCACCTTTCCCCAAGACTAATAAAGGCACCCTGGTAGAGGACGTGACCAGAGAACCAAGCTCTCTCTGCTTCACTTGTCCCCCACCCCCCAAGCCCCAATTCAAGCAGCAGACCCCTCAGAGATGGCTCAGGAAAACTTCTGGAACACCACCAGCGGCAACAGCACGGAGCGCGCACTTCCTGAGCTTTACAAACTGAAACTCACAGCCCACCCTGCACACGACCCCTCCCCACCCCCGGACATTTGCCAGCCCTTGTTCCCGGCAATAGCAACAGTGCTGTTCTCATCATTGCTACTACTACTATTATGCTGACGCATTAGACGGTCTCCAGACTCGAGAGGAGAGAAGGTAATTGGCTCTCATCACTCCAAGCAGCGTTATTGGATACAATGTACAAATAGCTTAAAATTAACAGCTGGCATCAGAGACCCGCTCAGTCCGTAGCAGATTACGGAATGAACACAAACTCACCTACTTCCATCAACACCCTCCCCAAGTCATTTGCAAACAGGACCCATAATTGAGTATCTGATTCAGATTAATTGCCATGCTTCCTTGGCTTCCTGCTCCCCGAGGGCCACTGCGAATTTGAACTCTGAAAAGTGACCCAAGTCAGCTTCGAGGTGCAAATGTTCCCAGGGCGAGTCAAACTTGGCTCTTCTTGGAGCCAAACCTGGACTTCGCCCTGCGAAAAACCTTGTTCGTGATCAAGTTCTTTGGGTCCTTTGTCCCCGACTTTGCCATCCAGTAAAAGAGGAACATCCTCCGTTCACTGTGCCTGCGGTTCAGGCGCCGGGCGATGGACATGGGGCTCTCCCCCCTGTCATCTCTTTCGTTGATGGAGGCTCCGTACTTGAGCAGGTGGCTTATACAATCCAGACGGCCCATGGCTGCGGCCACGTGCAGGGCTGTCCTGCCCATGGGGGTTCTGCTGAGACTGTCGGCTCCTGTAAAATAAGACAGCTGACTGAGCGAGGCTCACCCTCCCGGCCAGGAGCCTCACCTCCAGGATCACATTCAAGAAGAGAAGCTCGGGAGGGGTGAGGTCGTAAAAAGAATGCTTGGGAGAATTAATTACTGCCCCCGACCCCAGCACCGAGTATAAGGGAGGAGGCGTCACTGCACGGTCCCAGCACCCGGCTCTGCCTTGCCTCCAGTCTGCCCATGGCACGCTCCTGCTCAAACCCCATTTCTGGCATCCACTACCCTTGGGGTCATTTTCTAGATTGTTACTGCTCTATCTCACCCTGCCACCCTCCCCACACCACGCTCTTCCTCCCCTCCCTCCATGCTCCAATTTTACCAGGCTTCTATCTTTATGCCTTAAATACCCCCTGCTCCCGCATCCCGCCCCAGGCCTTTTGCACACGCTGTTCCCTTTGTTAACAGCACTGTTACCCGTTTCTACCCCCGCCACCCCTGGCTAACTCCATCCTTCTTTATCCTCCATACACTTCCTCAGGAAAGCCTTCCTTAGCCCCCCTCCCCAGGAATCCCGCCCCCCTGTATATGCTCAGTAGACATTCTGCATCTTCAGAACATGCCACGCACGACTGACCATGGAATTAATTATTTGTAATAATTTGCTGACTTCCCTTCATAAACTCCACGAAGGCAGAAAACACACTTGTTTTGATCACTGCTGTTTTCATCCCCGGCACGTAGCGCGATGCCTAGGAAAGACAGGCGCTCGGGAAATGACAGACGACGGGCAGCCTGACTCATGGACAGATTTCACTTCGATTGAATTCCTCACTGCCTCCCGCAGATGGATGGGCTAATGACAGGTGTCCAATATGGACTTGTTGAATTGAATCAAATTCTGGGTAACAAATATCATGACACAGAAAACAAGGCAATTCAATTACAAGCAGCTGACATTTCTCTAGCCAGTTTTTATGAGCTATGGCTGGTCGGTGAGGTAACGTTTTAAATAGGTTCTCATAACGCCCAGCCTCAGCCTCAGCACGGCTTTGCGGCGGCTGTGTGCGAAGGACAGAAAACTTTGCAAAGCTGGCTGTAATGTTTTAACTGGGGCTTTCAAATACATCACAGTTCCATCAGAGTGAAAATGACTTTTTATGAGCTTAAAGGACTGCTGGTCTGTGAACAGCCCATATTTCATCCCACAACAGGCGGCGTGCGGAAAGCAGTGGAGGAAGAAGCAGAACAGTCAGGAAAACCTCTACCCAACATGCGAGCTCCAGTCATCCTGCCCTGGCCCTGGGGATGCTTGCACCTTGCCTGGTGGAGGTGGCAAAAGAGGCAAAGAGGCGCAGAGAGAGGCCGGGGTCAAGACCGCGGGCAGGAAAGGTTCGGATTGGAAGACAAGCTGATAGGGGAGACCCTCGGATGAGGCCCACTTCTGGGCCTCAAACCCCTGACCGAACAGTCCGTCACATGTTCTTCCTGTTCCTGAGGAAGCCGGCGGCCTGGGCAGTCTGCGGCCATTGTCTATTGTTCTGGAATGGTCGACACCTCAACCTGAGGGCCTCTTTTCCCAAAAATATCCTACGTCCAGGGAAGATAAAGTGTGCTCCTGCAGATCTCATGCAAGCCCTCACATTCAGAGACAATGCAGGCCAAGGCTTCTACTTCTATCAACAGAGAGAGAGGGGGCAACTTGTCCTTGAAGGGTGGGCAGAGACAGGGATGGAGAGGGGATGAAAAGAGGGTTTGGGGCAAGGGTCTCTTGAGGGAAATAACTCAAAGTCATGGAGAAAGGGGACTGGCCCTCCTGCCACACACCCACACCCACACCCACCCACACACACCCCCCAAGAGAGCGATGCCGACTTGGGGCTAGAGCTCTCAGACCGTGGCAGAAACCCAACTTCAGGTGGGGCAGAAATAACACAGGGAGTTTAGGAACATCTCCAGCAGTGTTGTAAGAGGCCAGGAAGCTCTTCTGGCTACGAATTAGTGTCTAAAAATTCCATCTCCCACGACAGAAAGAATCTTCTTGAGACCCGGCCAAGAGAGGGGACAACAGCTTTTACTCAGCATGTCCTAAGACCCCTACAGACAGAGAGCCAGTGCCCCACGGGGACCATGATTGATGGTTGACACAACTTGGGTCCAGGACGCCATTGCTCAAGGGCCCAGGAAGACAAGCCACTCTGTCCTCCCTACCCACAGAAGACTCCACCTTGTGAACATACTCAGCCGTCTCTCAGAATTACCATGTTCTAGAAGGTACTGCACAGCATCCGAGTGGCCTCTGTGAGAGGTAATGTACAAGGCCACGAATGCTCTCTGAGCGATCCAGGCCTTCCACTGCTTGTGTTCCAAATGCTGCGAATTTGCAGTTTGGTAGAGAGAGTCTTCATCAACACCGAGGCAGGAGAGCTGGGCAGGATAAAGGGGGACCACACAGTGAGTCTGAGTTATTTCCAAAGTGCAGGTACACCTGGCTGGTGGGTACCTGGACCCTCCTGAGGGGAGGGTTGCTCGAAGGCCCAGTTAAGGCTCGTGATGGGAACAGAGAAGGGCAAACCCTAACTGAGAAGCTGGAACACACCCAGGGGAGGACATTGTTGACCGCGCTCTATACATGTCCAGGAAATACGCATTTACCATCAGGCAGGCTCGGGAGGCAGGAAATTCTTCCTGTCGGTGTTTTGAAGAGAGAAAATAGCTTTTCTGGGTGTCCAGAGGAAGGTGGTTGTGGCCATTAAGGAAGACACCAGACGACACGAAGTGGCCTCCCCAGAGGGGAATGCACTTCTCTGGAGACTTGATGCATTCTGGCCTTCCGATCTATTTTCGGGCCCATTGTCTCCGTTAACGTTTGGAACACTCTGAACTCCACTCACGGATGAAAAATAGCCCCATAATATAATCATCTCGTGGTGAAGTGAGGCCCTGAGCACGAGAGGAAGGCTGCGGGCTCTGGCAGAGAGGAACTCCGTCCCAGATGCGGGGCATCTGGTGTGGGGGCGGCAGTGGGGGGAGGCAGAGCCCCAGAGTGCGGGAGACAGGAAGGAATCCCCGGGTTCAGAGCAAGAGCCAGAAAACCCAAGCAGGACCGAGGCCCCGGTGGCAGAGGCGAGGCAGGGGAAGGCCGGGAGCAGAGGCCCCCAGGGAAGGACCTGGAGGGGATGCTCGACAAGCTGGGACAGGCCCCACCCCTCCTTCTAAGGCTCCCCCACACAGGCAGGGTTTGCCTCCCTAGAGACCACCCACCTCTCCCGGACCTGATCCCCACAAGCTGCCTACAGCCAGCCTTTCCTGGCTGGAAGTAAACCAAGCACCTCTCCTCACACGCTCATAGCCTTTCATCCAAATGTACTTTCTAGAAGGAACATACACTCGCCCCCCCCCTGCGCCCCCCGCCCCCCCCCATCTTCTCTGTTGGGTATAGATGTTCTGGTTTCCTGGTTTCCTCCTCCCTTCTCCCCGCTGCCCACCCCAGAGCTCAGCTGAGAGCCAAGCACAAGGCCTGGCAAAGAGTAGGCACTAGGCACCTGCTGTGTATCGAGTGGTGTGTGGTCTTGCCACCTTAGGGGAGGGGCAGACCCCCATTAGGATTTTTGACCTATCACATGCTCTAGCTTGTGCACTTCCCAGTTCTCCGGAGCCCTTCACCCACTGTTAAATCAGGTTTTCAACTTTACAAAATACACATGTGAATAGAAAATGCACCACCCTGGTTCCTTTTCCTTTGGGGTGTGCATGTGGGGGTGGGTTATAAGTGAATACCATGAAATAGCAAATCCAAGAGTGAGTGGAAACTCTCAATATAGTATTTGATCATTATGACATGACTCCAAGTTCTGTTTTTTCCTACTCTGAAACTTTTACTCAAATAGTCACACGAAAGACTGAACCCCCCCTACACACACACACACAAGACACAGTTTATGGTTGCTTCGTGAAGTACAATATCCATTTAGAGAAGCATGAAAGCACCTTACTGGGATCCCCTTCCACAGCCGCCAAAACCAGTTCCGTCCATCCATCATAATGCCAGATGCATAATGAAATAATTCCACCAGGAACAACATCATGGAACTTCAACGTAGTATCATCCATCAAAACTCCTACAGGGAATAATTTTTTCTTTAAAAAAAAAAGGGGGGTATTAAAGATAAACTATTACACTGGTTATCTTAAGAGATGATCTGACCTTGGGTATCACAAACATCATTTGAAAACGTTGAGCACTAATCTCATTTGATGACTCCATATGAGTCTGTTTGTGGTCATTAATGCTTTTTAGAAAATTAATTTGGCTCGGCTCAAACAGAAGCCAAGCCCCCCCCCCCAAAAAAGGCAACAATTTCTAAAATTCTGTAATTATAACTTGTTCTATTGCAAAAAAAATACATGAGGCAGTAAAGTCATTTTATGAGGCAAACTCTATAAATAGGACTACTTGAAGTAACTGTACATTACAGACTCGGCACAATGCACCTCCGGGCGTCATACGTGAAACTAAAATACTTATCTCTGGTTAGTGTTGTCAACAGTTGGCTAAGGATGTAACAATGGCAAAACTTTGTTGCATCTTTCAAATGCTACTCTACAGCAGGGTTTTTTTTTTTTCAAACTTGGCACAATTGACATTTTAGACTGGATTGTTCTTTGTGGTGGGGGCCGCCCTGGGCACTGAAGGGTAGTAGCGGCATCCCTGGCCTCTACCCAGTAGATGCCAGTAGCAGCCTCACCTAGTTGTGACCATCCAAAAGGTCTCCAGATGTTGCCACATGGCCCCTGGGGGACAAAACTGCCCCCAGTTGAGCATTTATGGTAATGTAAATGTTGTCACGTTGCTATTCACCATGATTTGGACTTGGGGCCTTAGAACTCCTTTATGTCATCACCCAGAACAACCCTCCACTAGTATGAAACAATGGGGTGAGTGGATCTACTCACACTTCATACGTTCAGACCCTTTGGGAAAGCCTGTCAGGATGATAGAATATAGAAGAGGACTCTAGAGCATTTTAAGTGAAGTTGTCTTCAGTTTATCTTTTTAAATAAACATGTTCCCTTACATAGCCACCTATAATCTTGCTTAAGAATAACATCATAATTTCTTTTCTCTACAAGTGATGCCGCAAGTGTAAAGTCTCAACTCGGCCAGGTCAGGTTATCCATTATTCCGAGTGGAATTCATGAGTTGTTTGGATTCACGACTGAGGGATTACTAAGTGCCTGTCCCAAGCACCTACACTCTTTAATCCTCATGACGAGCCAGGTTTGTCATTTCCATTTGCTGGTGAGCAAACTGAGGCTCCTATGCCCAGGAAATAGCAAAACCAGGACTCCAACCAGACCTGCCTTTCCCCCAGTGCCATGCATGAGTCGCTCTAGGCTCCGTTGGCCCCCTTTGGTGGTTACGAGAAACTTCGGATGGTGGGTATGAACAGGGAATAGCGATTAGCAAATTTGTTAATTAGGGTCTTATTTGTGGTTCTAACACAGAGGATAATCAGTAGTCGTCAGTAAGACAACTTGACTTCCTAACAACTTGGAAAAAAATCGAGTAAAGCTGTGTTTCCCTAAGAAAGACAAGAGTGCAATTCACACATGCTGAATAGCTCTCTTCGAGAAATCAGAGCATTCTCTCTTTATAGGCAGGCAGCAACTGCCTTCAGCTTACACAAATACTAATTACCACCAGCTAAATTATTAGAGTTGACAACAAATGTGTAAGATCGCCCCTCGTCCATGAATTTTGCTCACCCCTTTTAGATTTGTGTCTCTCAAGGTTTTCACGCACACATTATCTCATGTGATCCTCCCTGGCCACCTTTAGGCGGGTAAAGAGGCATCAGCAGGTTATTCATGGGCAGGAACCCACATTTACTTTTCTTAACGTAGTAGTACCTTCTTTCTTTTTTTGTTTGCTGTCAACAGGAGGGCTTGCAACGGCAGGAGAGGTCAAGCTTCTCCCAGTTGCTAAGTGCTTGCTGAGCGAGAGGATTGTGACATCGTACAAGTCACTAGGTGTCTTCCATTGCCTCGCAGCTCTCTTGAATTTATGGCTCAGCACAGCTCATCAGGGAAAATAAACTAACAGAAGGGGTGCCAGACATTTGTAGTTCAGGATACATAATTTTCGAATTACTTGTTTTGGAACGCTTACTATCCTTCAGCAGCTCAACCTCAACGTTAATGTGTTAAATAGAGACTGGGTTTGAGATACAAACTTCTTTCCAAATAAAGCCTCAAAAATGCCCCAGAGCATCTTCCAAACACTACTATAGCAAAATAAGGATGTCACAGAAGGTGCTTAACCTGCCACAAAGAGAGCAAAGGAAGGTATTCTGGCCCAAATCATCCCTGTCTAGAGGGGGACCCAGCACTGAGAATTCTAGAGCCGAAAGGCTCTGCGTTGCAGCTTAGGAAACTGAGCCCCGGAAGGGCAGTGTCTGGGGGGACGGAGATTGTGGAGACAGGCTGCTCTCAGATCTCTGCCTGTCTCCATCGCTTCCCAGCCCTGCAGTACAACTGCGGTGTCCCTGCAATATCGCTGTGCACATCTGCTGTGCTGCAGCCCACAGAGTTTTTTACACATCCATTTTCTTAAAGTATTTTTGCGTTGATTTCAACCGGGTGGGGAGATGATGGAGCCCAGGGGCTTTGACCCTGTTCTCATATCCTAAATATTATAGGGATCGGGACAAGGACAGCCAGGTCCCTCAGGCTGAGGGATGGAGATTGATGGATGGAGAGATGGGGCTCTAGAGCCCTCGCCCTCCACTGGGTGCCACCCACATGGGATCTGTCTGGATAGGGGCCTTTGGGGTCCTGATTTAGCCACAGTGAGCTTTGGGTGCTGGGCTCTGATTCCGACTGGGCTAGTTTTGAGCACCTGACATGGACAAGAACACCGCTTGAGATTCAGGGTTCTGATACAAACTGGGTTAGTGCCAGTATTTGGATGGGTAGGGTTTGCCTTGAGATTTGGGGTCCTGACAAGGGCAGAGTTTGCTCTGGATGTGGGGTTCTGATGAAGGCAAGGTTTGCTTTCCGTTTGGGGGTCCCAGTATGGGAAGGGTCTATTCTGGGATGTGGAGTCCTTGAATGGGCAGGACTTGTTTTGGGATTTGGGGTTCTAATGTAGTCCTAGGTACTGTAGCCACTGAGTATAAGGAATCGGATAGGTCAGCCCTTGGGAATTGGGGGTTTTGGTGGCGACAGGTTCTGCTCTGAGATTTGGAGTCCTGAGATGGGCAAGATTTGGTCTAGAGCTTGGGGTTCTGGTGTGGATAAGGTTGGCTGAGGGATTTGGGGTGTAATACAAGTAGAGCTTGCTTCGAGTTTTGGGGTCCTCACGGAGGCAAGGTTTGCTTTAAACTCTGGCTTCCTTACATGGGTATGGTTGGCTTAAACATGGTTTCCATGAGATTTAGGGTTCAGATATGGGTATGTTTGGCATGAGTTTTGGGGTCCTATTATGGGCGAAGTTTGTCTCATGCTTTGGAGACCTTATGAGCATATTTTGCTTGGGATTGGTGTTCTGGTGCGGTCATGGTGAGCTTGGGAACGGGCTTCCAGATGGGGGAAGAGTTCATTTTGGGTCCTGGCATCCTCACTTAGAGATGGCCAATGGATTGGGGTTTGGATGTCTAAGTGGCTAGTTAAGAGACTGGGGGCTCAGAAATGAGTTTGTGTGCTCTGGGATTTAGGGTCATGATCTGGGTAGAATCTGCCTTGGGATACAGGTTTCTGTTGCAAGCAGGGGTAGCTTGGGGGATTTATTTGGGGTTCAAACATGGGCATAGTTGGCATAGAGATATGGGGTCCTGGGGCAGGCAGTTTGTTTCAGGCATTAGGTGTCCTTTTCGGTGGACATGGTTGCTAGAGGATTCAGGGTTCTGAGGGTCGCATGGTTAGCCTGGGCATCTGGGGTTCAGTCTTGGCCAAGTTTGTTCTTGGTTTGGGGCTCTTGAAGTGGGCAGAATTTGTTCTGAGCTTCAGCATCCTTGTATGGACATGGCTGCCGGAGGATGTGGGGTTCTGGGGTAGTCTTGGTTACCCTGGAGATTTGGGGTTTAGTCCTAGGTAGATTTGCTCTGGGTTTGGGGGTCCTGAATTGGGCATGGTTTGTTTTGAGGTTTAGCATCTTTGTGTAGACACAGTAGCCAGAGGATTTGCGGTTCTGAGGTAGTTGTAATTACCCTGGAGATTTGGGATTCAGTCCTGGGCACAGTTTGCTTCAGGCTTTGGCATCCTTTTGTGGATATGGCTGGCTAGAGGACTGGGGGGGGGGGTTATGAGTCCAACATGGGTTTTTGGAAGTTTGCTTTGAGTTTGGGGTCCTGACATGGGAAGGTTTGCCCTAGATTGTAGGGTCCCATTGAGGACAGGCTTTGTTTCAGGCTTCTGGTCTTATGTGGACCTGGTGGCTTTGGGATTTGGGTCTCTGATAAATACAAGGGCAGCTTGAGGGTCTGAGAGGTCTTGCTGGGGCAGCAGCGCCTTTGTTGAGATTTGGGGACCTAACATGGACAGGATCTGCTCAGGGTTGGCAGGTCTGACTAAACAACTTGCTTTGGGACCAGAGTCCTGGCATAGGCAGGATTTGTGGATTAGGGTCTTGCTGTGGACAGGGTGTGCCCTGAGATTTGAGGTTTAATGTGAACCTGGTTTGTCGGGATTGGGAAGTTCCTTTCATGGCCTGGGCTGGCTTTTCCATCTGGGGTTTCCAGGGCGCGGGGTGGGGTTTGTTCTGACACCTGGGGGTTGGGCGGCGGGGGTCCTCACGCGGGCAGGGGTCCCTTCGGGGACTGCAGGGTTAGAAGGGGACCCGGTGCCCCGGTGGAGGCCATACACGCGGGAGGGAAAGGGGTGGGCAGGGGCCACCTTGGTCCAGGTACTGGAGCCGCTGCAGGTCCAAGGGGATGCCGACTGTGAGGTCCAGCTCCTCCTTGAGCTCCCGCACCGTCATGTCGCTGCGGCAGTTTGTCACTTGGAACATCTCCCCGGTCTCCTCCAGCCGCACCCGCATAGCGAAGACTTCTGGGGAGGCGTCTGGGGCTAAGTCGAGCGCCGGACTCGCGGCCTCCGGCGACCCAACGCCCCTTGGGCCGGGGGCGCGGGCCGGGGGCTGCACGGAGAGGGGCCGCAGGCCGGCTGAGCCCGCCCCCCGCCCCCCCCGCCCAGACGCCCCGGGGTCGGGGCCCAGGGCATCCCCCCGCGGCGCCCCCGGCCATGCTCCGCCGCCGCCCGCCGTGCCCGCCCCCCGCCGCATGGCCCCCAGCCTCATGGCCCCCCGCAGCACAGCCTCCCCGCGTCACCACGCCCCCCGCCCCGCGCCCGGCGGAGCCCCGCGGACGACCCCGGGAGCCTCCAAGCTGCTCTCCCGGTCACTAACTGTAACCTGGCAGCCCTGAGGACCCCTCCAGTCCCCAGCTGTTTGCAATACAGTCTTTGCAAAATTCAGGGCCTACGGTCTGGAGTGAATCGCCCTAAATCCTCCTGGCATGCCTCGTCTAGAGTTGTCAGGTGCAGTCTGTAGCCATGTTTAACAATCCTATTTCTGGCACCAATGAAAAGCCCCACGGAGCTGGGCCCGGCGCTCAGGCCGCTCCGGAAGCGGGAGCCGGGCCTTCGTGAGGGTCTGCAGAGCCCCCTGAAAGCCCATCAGTTCTGAAAACGCTCTCGAATTCTCCGAGGGAGAAAGGTGCTGATGAAAACACTCAGCAAGGGGGAAACGTCCACTTGGCGCGAGGCTGAGCCGGCTCCATTGTTAAGATGCCTTTCAAGGGAGCTCCATCTGTGAGAAACCCATCTCGTGCTTTTCCATTAATTCACCCAAGAGGAGGCAGAGTGTTCAAGTACACAGGAAGCTTACGTGTGATGATCAAATCGCAAACACTCAGCACCCCACACCTAGGAACAATTAATACACAAAGAGCTGTGGTGATGCGGGAAGGAGCACGAGAGAAAGGAAGGCGAGGAGGGGGGCAGAACCACATCAGAAAAATCTGTTGTTACGAAAGAAGAATAAAATGTGAGCCTTAAACATACTTTTTGCAGAGAAATTACAGTCTTAAAAAAACAAAACGGAACCTGGCACTGGAAAGGCATTCATGTTAAGTTATAGACCATTTTTAGTGTATAAGCTGAACTTTTTAAGGTTGGATTTTTTACCAGAGTCTCTACAAGCACATTTGTGTCAGCATGCAAATTCTACACAGCACAGCACAGACTGAGGTTATTTTTTTTCCTTAATGGAAAGTGAAGCTCTGCACAGAATACAAAATTCCAGGTGAATAATTCTACTTGCTGCCAGGTCAACAGATTTTAACAATATGACAATCTCAATTTCTAGACAATAAAAAAATTAAAAACTGTTTGTTACCGAAGCAAAACAATATCTCCATCTATTTACTTTAGGCAAGTATTGAACACAAAAGGGACTGATTGATTTTTGTTTCTCTTAATACGTAGCCTCCACAATTTATTAGCTCACGCTCTGCCGGAGTTGCCCAAATGCTAGCCTGGGTTACAACTTGAAATTCTCACACACGTACCTTATTTTCTTTGGCACAGTATAGATTCCTTCCTTTCTTTTTAAAGAATCAGCTCAGTGGAATTTGGAGGAGGGGGACATCCTGTATACCAGGAAATTCAATATATAGCTCCAGAAATTTTATTTTTAAAAAAGGGAGAAAGAAAAGACCAGACAAGAAAAATATCCAAGGAAAGAATGGCAATAGCAACACGCCCTTTGCGGCCAGCTCTTGAAACCCAAATGGGCCACTCCTTCCTCTCTTTATGCCTGCTTTCAAGATGATTTAAAATAGAAGTAAAATAACATGAGCCTACATGTTATACAGAATTTAATGAAACGTTTATAGAATCTCAAATTATTCACAAAAACCCTGTTTAAGTTCTAGAGCATCTTAGTCTAAATTTTAAAAAAAATGAAATCTAAATTCGGTGTACTTAAGTCAAATTGAAGAGTGTCATAATTTAACCCCCAAATCCCTGACAAGTACATGGACTGATCAGAACTGTGGGTTCCTAGTCTCTGTTAAAGATTCTAAAGCATTAGCTATAAAGTCAATATCCATGCATCTCAATGATCAATTTCCCTCCCACATTCTTAAACGTAGGATAATAACTCCATGTAAGAATGAAAAATCTTTCTGCCTCTGTCAAAGGCCAGTACAGATCTTTATGGATACAGTCAGCGCAAGAAGGGGAGGGACAAGTGCCTGAGGAAAAGTTCCAAGTACAGTTTATACAAAAGTACAATATTAGAAAGACTGCCATAAATCATTCTTTAGTAGATTTCCTTAACTATCACATTTTTCAAAAGTAAACAAATTGGGCTATATTTGCAGCAACTCAAAGTAGAGCATAAATTTAAATGATGTATTTGTTGTGTTCACTGATAGGAGGCTAATATTACGTTAATATATTTTCTTCCTGTCAAGAGTTATTTACATATGTACATTATTTCAGTTAAAAATAAAAATGTAATACCATAAACTGTATTTTCCAGGAAAGCATGAGGGAAGCCAAATATGCAAGTCTCTTAAAGACTTAAAAGCTTCTAATAAACTACTTTTATTTTGGGAGGAAGGGGGCTTTAAATAATATAGTCAGTCTGTCATGGAGAAGGTGATCTGATGCTATGGAGACCCCTGTGCCCAGCTAGCCACCTGGTGCTACAACCTTGTCGTGGCTTCCCAATCAGCAGGCAGGGGCGCAGAGGGTGGTGCCCGTCCCAGGTGCAGTCCCTGGAGCTGCGGATGGGAAAGGGGTCATTTGAGTGCCCGCCCTCAAAGTTTCAGAAATCTTTCCTCCCTCAGAAGGTGTGGCACAGTCAGAACCCTGACAAGCGGATGTGAGCAGTATGTGGCCACATACGACGTGGCCGGGGTGCGCGGGATCCCAGGGCGGCTAATTCCGTTCTGCCAGTACAGGCGTGTCTGCGGTGCTCCGCCGCTTTGGCTCCAGGGTGGCGAAAAAGGACACATCTGGGTCCCGGTCTGACTGCAGAGCCTGGACGGTCTCTTCAACGACTTGAAGATGAGGGTTACCGGCATTTCTCAAGTACGCTAAAGAGAGAAAACGGTAGTTTGGCTCACATGGGCCATGAACTGGGCTCCGAAACAGACTCGAGTGCTGGGGGGTTTTTTAAACCACACCTCAGGACAATAAATCACTTTTCACAGAGTAACCACGTATGTAAGGCCTTCACAATGATAACATGACTGCTTTCGTCAAGGAGTAACTTCAATTTCGAAGATGGACTCCCAAGAACAGCTACGCGTATTTTTTAAATTATAGTTTAAAAACTTTGCATGCCATCTTTCCTTCTCTCCAATACCAAAGAACTGCCAGTGTGTGGAGGGCAGGGAGGGGAACAGGTGGCTGGCAGGGTGGGGCGGGGCTGGGAGCGCGGCGGGAAGACAGGCACTTGCCGGGACCAGCTGGAAGGGGCCGGCTCCGCACGTGGTGCAGGTGCGAACGTGCCACCCAAGGGACGCAATGCTGCGTCACGTCCTATTCAGGACATAGGAACAGGCTGCAAACCTCACCGTAATGAAGGCTTACGTTGGCTGCCTGTCATAATGTCTGTGTCATCACTCAACGTTTACAAGTTTCCCCCATTTCTAGAAGACTGTGAAGTTCTGCATTTTACCATGAAGCTCATTAAATGTGAAAATTCAACTGCCATTTTATAAATAACAAACTATACTGCATAAAAGTTAATACATCAATTTATATAATAAGTCTGAAGTATGCGATCAGACAAGTTCCTAAAGAGGGAGACGAGTTGCTGCTTGGTGAACTTTAAAATGTGTAAGTTCGGAAAAACGGTCCACATACCCTTTTCCAACAGCGTCTGACGCAGAGCTTTGGCCAGCAGAACCCTCACATTTGGCACAGGATCTGAGGCAAGGCTTAAAAGGCTGGGGAGCAAGTGTTCAACAAACTGGTCCACAGGGATGCACTCCTCGTTCACCACTGCCTGCCACGACAGACAGCCACAGTCAAAGAATTGATACTTCTCCACAATGGTCAGCAGGTTTCTTCTAAAAACACCCTTCCACAATTCCAAAGAAGTAGTTTCGGGGTCTGCTGGTCTGAGGAGTGTGTGTGTGTGTGTGTGTGTGTGTGTGTGTCTGAATCTTAAAATCTCAACCACTGGGATGAGATAACTGAATTTGGCTAGAAACACAGTTAACAATTTCTAAGTCCTCACCAAGGACTGGATTATAGGTGGCATAAAATTTGGTGAAGAAAATAAAGGATTCTGAGTCAGACAGGCCTAGCTTCAAACCTAACTTGGTCACTTACTAACTTCGTGGCCTGGAGTGAGTGGCTTCACCTTTCTGGGCCTTGGTTTCCCCACCTGTATAATGGGGAAGTGGGGGGGTGGGTGGCAGATCATTTTTGCAAAGAATCTAGCAAAGCGCCCACCAATGAAGGCTGAGGGCCCTCCCCTCTGTTACTCACCAGAATTCGGGTTCTGAGGGCCAGCGCCAGGCCTGTCTAGTGCCAGCCAGCCCCAGACTCCCATGCAGGCCCGGCCCCCTCTGTGAACACCCGACAAACGCTGCCTCTGCACACTGCCACTCCGCCGACAGAGGCCTACAGCTCCCGCCAGCCATGGAAGCCAGAGTGGGGCCAGTTTTACAGGGGAGGAAACTGTGGTCCAGTGTGAGGCCACTGCAGGTCCGTAGTCAACGAGGACCAGCGATTGGGGGGCGGGGGGGGAGTCCAAACCAGGCGTGTGGATTCTAAACCCTGCACACCTTCCCGCCGCAGGGTGACGAGAGCAGCAGGTGTCCACTAGGTGTCTCCCAGGTGCTGGGCGCTGCGAGGCCAGGCAGAGGCGGCAGCTCGTCCCCCTCCGCAGCGCGGGCCTGTGCTGGCCCCCAGGTCAGGCTTGCCCCCCCGAGAGGCACTGAAATAACCATCAAGTGACCCCCCCCTCCTTTCGTCGGTCTTGTTGTGGGTTTTCTACATCTTACTGATGACTCGTGAAAGCGCACACGCTGATTCTTCCTCAAGAAAATTAGTGGGTGTTTTTTTCCTTTTGTCCCATCATGGATTTTCTAAGTCTCAGATCAAGCATTAAAAGACAAAAGCAAAGATATCTCACTTAGGGGCGCCTGGGGGGCTCGGTCGTTAAGCCTCTGCCTTCAGCTCAGGTCATGATCCCAGGATCCTGGGATCGAGCCCCGCATCGGGCTCCCTGCTCGGCGGGAGGCCTGCTTCTCCCTCTCCCGCTCCCCCTCCTTG